CTGATAACGAGCTTTCCCGCAAGTTCCAAACCAGGAGCTGCTTTTGCCACTTACGGCCCCTGCAATAATGATGAGGAAAATACTCATATCTTGTGTGCACCTTACAACTGAGGTTCTTAAAGCCTGGCCTAAATGCTCAGTAACAGCAGGATGGGAGGTATATCTCATCATCATGGATATGCAAGAGCTTCCTGAGTCCCACGCTGAAAGCAAATGCTTCTAACCTCTGTTTGCTACTTTACGTTTCAGTTACTCAAAGCAGAGGCCTGAACCGACAGCTCATACCTGTTTCTCAAGAGAGCTTATGTCTGAAATGGATGTGCTATGATCTGTTTCTTTTAAGATGCCTAATGGTTCTATAAAAGTCTTCTTTCCACACTTATTTGTTACAGAGATGACCCAGCTACCTGGAACAGAATCACAAGTGCCCCAGCAAACAACTGCAAAGGAGGTGGGCAGCAAGGGTCTTCTGGAGGATGCTCTTGGCCTGTCAAAGTCCATCCTGCACACAGCAGAGAACATTCCAAGTATAGAAAGATAAGTCAGTTCTGTGCTTTAAAGAGATGAATTCAAGCAGCCAAAGAAGGCAAAGAAATTAATGCCAACATAAGGAAGTTTGCTGGAGGGAAAGTATCCCTGCATACACAGTAACCAGCTTATGTGGTGAGTCAGTGAGGTCTTGCATTGAATTGAGAAGTCATAATACACATTTCTGCTCACGGGTGAAACCTGAGCTTCCTCTTAAGAGCCTCCTTTGGACACACCAGCCCTGTCAGCAGTCATGGCCTGCACCTAGAAAGCAAACCTAAACTTGCTGTGTCCTCAGTTGTTCAAGGCGGCCTGTCTCTTGTCTCATGCCATCTTCACTTTGTGGCTTCAGTGCTCTTGGGTTTGGATTTCATTCTGACCACTGCTTATGCAGCCACCTTCTTGTGCCAAACCAAGCTGGACCGGATGGCTACATCCATGCTCTCTGGAACTGCTCTGGTACACTCTTGGTGAGTAACACTACTTTCCAAGCCTGCTTGGCCAGAGAGCAGCTTCCCAGGCTGTTTTGTGCAGGCAGCCAGCTAGAGCTTACTCAGAGCCTGTGTTCCAGCTACCAGGCCTATCTGTGGGCAGTCTACGAGAAGATGGATTTCTGTAGTTACTTTCTCTGTAGTCATGCCATGAACACTTTCAGCTGGATTATCTTTTTTCTCAACTTTCTCGTGATTTTGTGTTTCCATACAAGTAATAAAAGCTGTCAAATTTAGCTACTTAGCTTTAGCAGCCTTTCCCACCTTCCTTGCTAAAACAGGATATTTTCTCCTCTGTATTGCTTGCCCTATTTCTGTTGAAATTTTGCACGTAAAGCAAAGGATTCCGCTGCTTTCGGATGGTGCAGGCGGAAGAGAATTCAGTTCGATCTCCTAAATCCAGCTTTTATCACCAAGGTCTCACCTTGGCATCTGGAACATGAGCTATTAGACCCAGTTTGGAGGAAGTAGGGAGTGAGCACAGAGACCGGTTGTCTTCTCTTATATACAGGCCTGGTTTGGGTCAGAAATGTGCATCGAAGGTTTCAGACTTGGCTAGGGAACGTTTCATTAACCCTGTCTACACCAGACAGTGTTACCCTTTGAGGGGTGGGCATAACATAATCTATGTCAGTTGGTTCAGATGCCAGAATTTTTTCCCTAGAACACTCCACAAGGAATCTTACAGCTTAACTGTAAATACACAGATGGTTGCTATGTAGAAGGATTTTGCCTTACAGTAAATGACATCATAGCACCCACAAGGTAGGTGTCAATAAAACTGAGAACTTCTGGAAGGCCTTACCTTGGACAGGGTGCTGAAGCCATGATGCAAGATGCTTTTGACACAGGGCCCTTAGATTGCTTGAACTGGACTTGGCTCAGGTGGTATAAGTCTTTTCAGTTGTGGATCTTCTGTCTCTGAAGGAAGGACTGGAATCTGAGTCCTTGCTGAATCTGCGAGGAGGTTGGTAGAGGTGAAGAGGGGACAGGGTACTTCTTTCCAACGGGCTAGATCCTTTGGCTCACATGCTCCAGGATGTGCTTTGTTGCTAGACTGCTGTTTAGCAATAAAACAGCCTTAGTTACTTAACGGGAATTGACTGCTTGGTCACTTCTCCTCTCCTTGCCAGCCCATTCGTTCTCCCCTCTTCCCTCCCATCCAGTAATGACAGCTTTTCCTGATTGACCCCACAGGCTTACAAAAACCCTTTTTACTTAAACGTATATTGACCTCAGTCTTGCTGCCCAGTGAATTATGTCACAGCTGGCAATGTGAAAGTCATAAATCAGGCCTCGGACCTGCAGAGCTGTCTCCTGATGATACGGATCTGAGCCTTTATCGATGAAGGTTGTACCAGGTGCCTTCATGTCTCTGACAACTCCAACCCTTTCCATGTTTTTTTCTACTGTCATCCCATAGACCCTCTGAGTTTTTCCTTTCCTTTGATTTTTTCTTTATTTCCTTTGCCTGTCTTTGCTGTCTATAAAATTTCATTACTTGCCTTGACCTACCCTTTAAAAGGGAAGAAAAGGAAACTGTCAAACTTAACATCTTGGGTAATCTTAATTCTTAGGTACTGTGAATTTTAACAGGCTTTCCTTCTTCTCTTCCTATTCAATCTTGTGCTGAGTTTTTATTGTTGTTTTCCTTGATGTGATTCTTTTGCTCTGGACAAATGCACTGGACAAATGAGGAATTTAATGATACTGGAAATATTTCTCCCTTGTTTTGTAATGCAAAATAATTCCAATAGATTCCCTTTGTATTCATCATCTTTTCCCCTATGATTTGGGATGTACTTGCTTGTTGTCACTTTTGTGGGTGAGGGATGGGGAATAGTCCATGAAATGTGAAGTGTCACCATATAAACTGAATCAACCCTTGTGTCCTTGTACAAGTACTGATTGAGCGGGAAGGAAGGAACTCGCTCCATGACATAGTTTATAAAGGAAGATGCATATTGTGCTTGACTTAAATGGTAAAATTCCATGAGTTTCCATGATCCACTGTTGTTTTGGGGAGAAAGGGAGGCATAGCTCAATCTTCTTCTAACAGACAAGAACAAGGCTGAAATACCTGCACATCTTACATGGATGGCAAATCCAGTAAAGGTGTTCGCTTTTCTTCATCTCCACACAATTTCTGTCTTTACTCTGTCTGTGCAGGAATACACTGATAACAAAGCTGGGAAAGCAAAAGAGCTTCTTTCTTAGTTCTTCCAGAGTTAGCGAAAATACGACTGGTGACAGACCCATCTCTTGTTTGAGATCTTGTAAGCCTCATTTCGTACCTCATTTCATTCCTTCAGCGTGCCATGCAAATTCCTCAACTCAGGAACCATTCTATGTCTCGTGTTCAGGATATGATGCCTCTTTCTCTGTGTCCTGGCTGCCTTGAGTAAATGCAGAAAGATCATTTTGGTGATAGCTGCTGACAGTATCTCTGATACCCAGGCCAGACCTGGCAAAGATGAAGTTAGTTCAGGGCTGAGGAGCATTCTTGGCTCCACATGTCACCAGTGAAGTTGTGAGGGCCCTCAGCACCTTGGTGGTGTTCAGTGCTATGGGTGGAGATCAGGCCCTAAGATAGCAAGGTGATGAAAAGCCCTTTCAGCAACAGTGACACATAGACAGAAGAAGATGCAGTGATAGTGTGTAGAAATAAATCCTTCTCATCCTGCTTTTGATCTTCTCAGTTCATTAAATGTCAGAATTTTTCTTAATATAAGTTTCTTAAATCATCAGTGAGCTTATACCCTGCACTTTAAACAGCCTTTGTAAAATGATACTAAAAGAAACAGACTCACGCATTTATTTTAAAGACACAGGAATTGGCACTATCTTTATTTAGATTAAAATACTGGCCTGTGATGTTGTGGTACTGGCATGCACAGCACTGCCCAGAGAGTGAAACTGGCTGCAAACTCCTCCATCTGCTTTTATGCTGGAGAGGAAGTAAATGCGAATGACCTAAAGGTTGGATTGGTAGGAGAAAAACTAGTAGATGGTGGATTATATTTCTCTTTTCCTAAGGTAAATTGCAGGCACAATAATGATGTTTGTGAGTTTGATACAAGATTTTAAGGTAGATTGTAGCCCTTCAAAGAAAATACTCATAAAGATACTCTACAAGATTAGAGGTACTGAGGCCCAATGAGGCCATGGCTCAGGGTTTATGGCATCCATCAAGACATAGAGTATGAGCTGTTCTGTGACCTGGCTTTTATAAAGATCAAAAGGCTTAGAACTGTGGAGAATAAGATTTTCAAATCATCCAGGGGAGGCACCAAGTTGTCAAATGGGAGGAGGCTCTTTGAAGTGTGCAGATAAGAACCTTCCTAACCCTCGGTCATGTATAAAAGCCATTACCAGACAGCGGAGGGACGTGTCATCCAGTTGCGCTCACGGTGTCGAGGTAATTCATAGGAACAGAGCAGCTGAGTGGATTCAGGGAAAGAGCTGGCTGTAAATGGGGCCCAAACTGAATGCTTGAAGAGGATTGAAAGGACTGAGACGATTTAGAAATGAATGTACTGGGGGAGGTGGGAATTCTATGTGTTAACATCTCCCTGTGCTCTGGGAGCAACAAAGCAAGGCACCTGCTCTGGGGAGCTGGGAGTAAGAAGTGTGCTCCTCCAGATTCTATCTCAACTTTATATCTGAGTGTGGAGGAGCAGGTGGGAATGATTATAAAGAGCTTCTGGGTGGGAAAAGGGTTAAGAGAGACAGAAGTCAGCAACATACCTCTGCTTTCTGGTCAAGAAGCTGAGTCAGTGCAGGGACAGGAGGGAGGAACCAATTCACTGCTGCTGTAGGCCAGGAATAGCTTGCCACTGGTAGGAAAATAGCTGTAGAAGAAACACTGTGTGGAGAAGATACCGTTAAAGGCAGGGCAGCTGCAGAGCACCACTTTTCAGGCTGTCCCAGAGCCCAACCATCCAGCATGAACACTTTCACGTTTGTTCATTCCTTTCTCAGATTCCTCAGACTGGTTGATGTTGGCAGCTGGGTTATCATGATGCCTGGAGAAAGTACTTCTGCAGTGTTCTTCATATAAGCAAGAGCTGTTAGCACTGAAAATCCTCCCCAACATGGATACTCCTGAGCTGGTAAGAAGAATTTCTGGTCACATTTATAAGAGTTTAATGATGTCTAGACAAGATAAGTGTCCTTCATGTCTTGTCGTCTTTGTGCTGATGAACTAAGGATACATTTACTTCCAGTATGATGACTTTTTAAGAGAAAACACCTAAACAAGACAGAATAAGAACCAAGTTTCATGGCAGATGCTGTCAGATACGTATGTTTCCTCTGTAATGAGCTCAGTCTTTTGGCTGACAATAGTATTTGTCTAGCCAACAGTTTGAAAGCTGAAGGTGAAAACACAGAGGTAGGAATCACATGGTCTTACACTCCATGTCCAAGCACTGAATTCCCTCACAGCAACATAATTCTTTCTTAAACCTCGTCCTAGTTATGGCAGCTCACACAGATGCTCTCTAGTGACTATGGTGCACAGTTTAGTCAGAAATATTTTGAGAGTCTCATTCCCATTGGAAAATGTCAGTTTGGCAAAACTGCAATTGTTGAGGAAATCACAATGATTTGCCTCTTTTTTGTCTTCAGAGGAGTAATAGAGGAGAGGCTGATCGAGTTGAAGACATGGGTTATACTTAAGTGTTCTTTTTCTCTCCAAATGACTTTTTGCTTTTTGCTTCTTCTTCCAGGTGTGCTTAGTTGTATTTAAGGCATTTCCAATGTATTTCAGTGTGTCCAAAATGAAATTGTGGAGGGAACAGTGAGATTTTGAGGGGTTTTCTCCAAAGCAAACCATAAGTAGCTAATAGATGTACAAAACTATGCACGAGCTTGAACTTCCTTTCTTTTCCTCACCCCAACAGCGCAGTTACAGACGCTGAGCTGTGCATGGTATACAAATACTCTAGCAGTAGTATTGCAGAAGGAGTTCCCTGTTTCTATCAACAAGGTTTTCTTTATTTACTCCAGGCTATTCAGGTTTCCTTTGCCATCCTTCTTAAAGCAACCATTTCCCAAATACCAGAGCAGAGAGAACTATGTTGTCAACTATCCACTCACCAGCGTAATGAATAGGATCCTGCATTAATGGGCCCACAGGTCAGATTCAGCAAGGAAATTACCATGTTCCTGTATCCTTTCAATTGCAGGCTTTAAAACCAAAGCATGGAGACACACATAAATTATTACACTGTCGTTTAATGTGGAGTCAGTCCAGTGTGAACCTTGAACGCCTGGAGCTGGTCCAGGCGAGTGGCAGGAACAAGGCTGAGAGTCCTAGTAAACACCACATCATTTCTGGTATTTGCAGGGCATCTGTTTTGCCTGCCCTTGCAGTACCTTTGTCTGGTCTGGAGAAGATCCTGGGTGACTGGTGATTGTATTACAGGCTGGCACATTTGAGGGTAAGCCATTCAGCTTGTCAGCATGCTCCCAGAAGGAAAGCTGCAGTGAAAAAAAAACCTTGCTGTGGGCTTTGAAATCTGAACTGCAGCCAATTCCAGCTGAGGGATGTGCCCATCGCCTTTTTGCTGTGAAGTTGCCATCTGAACAATGACACTGTTGTGTGGTTTGAACAGACAACAAGTAATGAAAAGGATAAGTGTCTGTCATATGTGTGACTGGGTAGATATCAGTTAGAAAGCAATCCAGGCCCTCAGCCTTTCCTTTAATCCTGCATCTCAAAATCCACTTTTAGAGTTCTTTTGAGGGGACACAAATGCATCCCAAGTTTCCTTTTTTATTAGGAAAACACCACACCATCTGGCCATGCTTCTCCTTGGAAAGCCATGCCTTCCTAAATAGTGCTGGGAACACAAGAAGGAAAGTTGCAGAACAGGGAGGAGGATTTCCAAGAGATGTGCTTTTCCATAATGAAATAATAGTCTAAGAGAGCTCACGGCTTGTACCAACCAGTGAGACTGCACTAATATTCACTGCAAAACTTGTTTTTGCAGGATCAGGCTTCCCAACCCAGAATCCAGCTGTGTCGTGCATGTGCTGCACAGCTCTCTTCAAGTCAAGTGAGCCACAGCACGGCGTGTTAATCTGTATTCATCCAAATTAGAACATCTCGTCTTTTGTTCTCTATTTGTTGGGACAAACAGCTCCTCTCTCACTCTTTCTTATTTGCCACTCCTACAGGACCCCAGATGAAGTCATTGCACTGAGGTCTTAGCTAGTTCATTCTGTGAAGTGCTTAAATAAAAGCAGTGAATGGGGAGAGGAGGAGAGGGAGAGACTCATAGTGCTGTGTCCCTTTAGTAGATGGGGAGCTCTTCTCCATTCAAGACAGAAAACAACCTTCTTGGCCATTATGCTCTGTCACCAAATACCTGAAGCTTGGCTGAGAAAGGATTGGTTGAAAGATCAATAGTATTTATGAAAGAAGTCCTGCTGTCCTTGGTTTTCCTCCTGCATAGGCACATTGCAGGGGGAGAACTTCCATTTTCCCACCCAGAAATATCAGGGCACCTCAGATGTTTCAGGTTTACTATTTGAGTGGGTTTTGCTTGGACTCTTCATGCAGGTCCAACCACAGATACTGCTCCAAGAAGCTGAAATGCTGAGAGAGTGCCTGAAGCATTGAAATCCCATGAGGACCAAAGTATGGGCCAGACAAAGAGAGCATATTCAGGCATGCCAAAGACAGATAAAGCTCCACCAGAATTAGGTGGTTATCCAGACTTTCAGCTACAGATTTAGAGTAAACCTGACTTCTGGGCACCCCACCTGAGATGCATGAGGGCTGTATTCAGGATTCCCATGGGAGCTGCTCATCTAAGGCTTTTGGGGGGTCTGGATGTTGTGAAACTTGTGGCTTTATAGTGGATATTGTGTAGTTGTCATGTGTGAAAAGCAAGTTGACTAACAAACTTCACGAATTTACATAAAATATGATCATGCCCAAGCCAGGGATATAAAGCTCAACAGTCCTTTGAGTTTATGTAAGTAATGGGCCTTACATGGAGAGTGAGAAAATCCACACTTAGGTTTGTGTTCCAGTAAGGAATAGAAATCCCTGAAATCTGGAGCCAGGAAAGTATAATTGATGAAAGGGGTTGTGTTACTCTAGAGCTGAGTCAGGTTAAAGCAAAACTACCAGCAAGGGGTTGCTTACATTTCCCTATGGGCACAGATTTGGGATGATGTGAACCAGCACACTGCTTGGGGTGACAGCTTGGTGTAACCCATTGGTGACCAGCAGGTAGAAACAGAGCAAAAGCAGTAGTTTGTGTTTTCCCAAAAGAATAAGAAAACATTCAGATAAGTAAGTGTGTAACCCCAGAAAGAAAGACACCAGCTTCTCCTCTTCACTCTGCTGTCCATCTATTGTATGGACGTGGCAAGCCTCTTTACTAATCCTATCTGTTACAGGCTACAGATACTTCCATCTGTCCAACACTGTAGTGTTGTAGGAAGCAATACAAATGCTATTTGCTATATACTAGTAAGGAGTGCAGTGAAAAAGCTAGTGTTGCAAGATGAAGCATCCCTGTCAAGGCTGTACCTCGTTCCAAGAGGCTGTCCATACCCATTTCCCCTGGGTTAGGAGTATGCTATTGCAATTCTTCATGAGATCTTTCTTACACAAGCTACAAACCTTGTAACATCTTTTACTCCCTTTGTCCAGACTAAGAGCAGATGTTGGGAGAGGATCCAGGCCTGTGTATTACACGTAGAAGAAGCCATATGTATAAATCCCCCTTCTTTCTACAGCTGTAACATGCAGTGTATGCACCTTATTATCCGAGAGAGATCCAGAGAACAGGGAAAAGTATAGGATAACCAGAATAATACAGGGTCTTGGGAGATTTCCCCCTGTTCAGAAAAGCTGAAAGAGTTTTATGTGGAAAGGCAGACTTGGGAAGAAAAGGACAGGGGTGAGTGAGGAGGAACCACTTTAAGTATAAAAATATCTGAAGGGAATAGGGAAGTGAGAGGTTTCAAGGCTATATGAGCTAGTGTCATATGTAAGGGTAAGAGAGCCTTGATTTAGGCTAGAGACAAGCCAGCAGGCAAGGAATTTGCTCCAGACAGAGAGTCCTTCGTAGATCCTGCATGCTACTATAGCTAAGAATCATGTCAATAGGGTTTAAAAGGTGCTTCAGAGGAACTGGGAAGCAAAGACAAATAAGGTGGGTGGCTGAGGGAGGAATGGAAAGTCCAGTGGTTACTGAGTGAGCCTTGAGTGTGATGAAAATCCTGGCTGTGCTCCAGTACAAGATTTCCTATCACATTAATTATACTGCAACAGGCTCCAGGGCTTTCTGTGATACAGACTTTGGATATCAAAAATGCAGCACAGACATCAGTGGTGGGGGGTAATAAGATAAGTTTGCTGTGTTGTCTCCAAGCCTTCCACTAGGATGCCTTCAAAGATGAAGCCTGAGACTTTTTGGTGCTCTTCTGCCTTTGTGCACCTGGGCAGAAAATGAATGATTTATGGGGAACAAGGAATAATCAGCTCTTGGAAATGTCGTGTTTCTCCCCAGAATTCACTCCATCTTCTTCTGTTACAATACAAATGCTCTTGGATGGCATTTTTGTGACTCTAAAAGGTATTATTTGAAAAGAGTTTGCTTTGAAAATATGGTTACCTAGACCTAGATGAAGATATTGGGAATGTTGTGACACTGTCACTGTTTGGTGTAGGCAGAACCCTTGGCAGGTATCTCACAGAACTGTATCTTTTCAAAGCAGTAGAAGGACAGCTGCCACTAATGATCACAGTTTACCTGTTTCACAGTTCACCTGGAGCCCCAAAACCTGAAGAGAGTAAATGGCAGCATCCATCAGATTTAATACTTAGCCCTCATTTGCATTGAACCTCAAGTACCTGCTGTGTTCATTTCTTCTTCTGTCCCAGCCACAAGGATTGGCCTGAAATTCCTTCCAGGAATTGTCACCACTTGGCTTCTGTATTCTTGTGGGCTTCGTTTTCCGTGTTGGGTAGTGATATCAGCTGGTCTGAGGGATGCTGATGTAAACTGAAATAGCAGCCTTCACTCCTTGCTTTTACAATGAATAACTTGCTCTTTTCAGTTCTCCTAGCATGGGAATGGGACTGAGG